TTTTAACACATTGAAATTTACCTGATTGGTTTGCTGTGCCTATGTTGCCTTTGAAACCACATGGAAGCACAGAAATTAAAATTAGACTTGTAGACAACCCAGGGTATTCAAAATGGGGTATGGCCAGGCTTTTTTAGTAACCACTAAGTCACAAACTCTGGTCAAAGCTAATGTTCATATTTGTTTTTTGTACATATTTGAAATTAATATATCTAATATTCAGCTCATCCACTCTAGGGATAGCAAGGAAATCTAAGTCACCTACTACCCCATCCATAGATGACATAGTCTCTCAAGTATAAACTATTTTTAGCTAGGAACAAATGGCCATAAAGCAGCTTCAGCTAGGTTGGGTGTCTCAAGGGGCAAAAACAGTATGTTAGGAATTCTTAACTAAATGTATGGGAAACATTTAATTTCATTCTGTTTTCAAACATCAACAGTTCTCTCTTAGATTGGAAAAGACAGTGTAATACATATTGGTATCCTCACCCAACTATTGACAACAGTAATCTTTAGATGTTCTAATGTTTAAACTATTATTTTAAGTGACTTGGATGATTCATATTTTAATTAACTAAATTAAAAAATTCAATTAATACTGATACTGCATGTCTATGTATTTTGGAACTGTGCCATTCAGAGTAATATATATATATATATATATATATATATATATATATAAAACATATAAACATATATATATATTCAACAAAAACAGTGTACATTATTAATACAATACAATCACATAATCCTTTGTCACGTCACATGATCATTTGAAAAAATAAATGTCTATTGCCATATTGACAACATTCTCAGTAATAAAGGTCATTTAGTTTGTTTAACTCAAAAATGCTAATTATTAACTATGGAATCTAAACAATACACTTTTGCATGGTAGAAAAATTGGTTTCAGCCAAACCACTTTGTCCAAAAATAGAATTTTGTTTGTGTAGTACAATAGCCGCCCATGTAAAAATTTGGCTCATCAAAATATCGTACATGCCAAAGTATTCAGGGAAATGATTAGAACAAACCAAAATGGCATGAAAATTAGTCAGTCAGTGTACTGCAAAAATATATAAAACTAATATATTTATTATGTATATATTTTGCAGTACAATATAAAGCTTATATTTTGCAGAACACCGATATTTGCATTTTCCTGCTATTTGGTCCGCAGATCAAGTGGTAAGAAATAAGATTTTTTTCCACTTTACTGGTCACTTCTCCCTTGATCTGTAAATAAAATCTACTTTTTATGACTGTCCCCTAACCATCATGCATCTTTTCCCAATTAATGATTTCTACGCTACTCTGAATCACGAATCAAACAAAACTGTTTGTCCATTGTCCATTTTTTTTTTTTAGACCACCAGAATTCAGGAAAAATCACAATGCACAAGTTCATTAAATAGTCTAAAACATATACATTGCAATGTTTCCAATATGACATGGTAGATAGTTACCTAAACAATTAGAGACCAATGCAGATATAAAACCATTTTTTTAAATTGCCTCTCCTACATCACACACTGCCAATGTAGGGTTTATATATATTTTTTAAATACTTGTGTTCTGCGTAGGTGAATATGAACCTTTCCTTATGTCCAATTTTCCCTTCCATGTATCACATATCAGTTTGATACCAATGATGTATTTTTAAAAGAACCTACCTTTGTTAATATTGTACATTTTGTAAAACATTGTATCAAAGGTAGCATGCATTCCGTCAACGTGATACAAACAAACCTTGATTTCAATATATTTAAATATTTTGAGTTGAAGGTACTTTCAGGTCCACATTGTTTTTGTTCCCTATAAGCATGTTGTTATTCTATTAAGTTATTTGCAACCAGTCACCACTATTTGTAGGCAGCTGATTCATTTATTAAAGTACTTGTCCTTGGTTTAGCCTATCAGCATTCTTTCTAGGGAAATCACGATATGAAGCACCACGTGTTTTCTATACCAAGTACATCTTTCTGAACGACAATGACCTTTTGCATTGTATAAATAGTACAAGTACTGGCATAAACTTGACTTGTTTGTTTACCCATTATTCTCAAATATGTTCGTAAAAACAGTAAAAATAGACATAGATCACTGTTATTCACATGAGTGAGTACAATAAAACAAAATCTGAAATAAAAACAAAGCTTCATGCTTTGTAAACTATGAATGCTTATTTAAAATATGATTTTTTGAATATTACAAGTTGATTCATTGTTATTCATTGCAGCTTTGTATGAAAACAAATACAAGTCACTTTTGTACATGTTTTAACCTCTTAAGGACTGAGCCAAATGTACACGGTGTGATCAAAACAAAACGTAAACAAAACCTGGCATTTGTGCTATATGTCTGTTCAGGCGTAATTCGCCTCTTTCATTTTATGTGCACCCACACTTATTATATATAATTTTATTCAGGGGAAACAGAGCATTCATTTAACATCAAATATTTAGGTATGAAACATAATTTAATATGAATAAAATATAAAAAAATAGGAGAAAATAAGAATTTAAAAATTTGTTTTAGTTCTATGTGACATTCTAACTGTGAATGTCAAAATATTGTTTGCTTTTACTGCAATAAAATATACATATTTGTATTCAGTGATGTGTCACATGTAAAACAGTACCCCCTATGTACAGGTTTTATTGTGTTTTGGGAAGTTACAGGGTCAAATATAGCATGTTACCTTTTCAGTTTTTTCACATTGCAATTCCTCAGATTGGTTACGTTGCCTTTGAGACCATATGGTAGCCCAGGAATGAGAATTATATCTATGATCTAAGTATATATTTTATTTTAAACTGTAACTTTTACATGTATTTTACTATTTTCAGGCAGCAGGGGACGTACCTGTCATTACAAACACTCCCCCTGCTGGCATTGTCATGGACGGCTATGCCGTTCATGTGATCGTGAGGTCCTTGCAAGGACCTCGCGATCATATGGCCCAGGGGGGCCAGAAAGGAAGGAGCGGGACTCCCTGCGAGAGTACATAGGACGGCTTGGACGTTCTATGCCTCCTGCCGGTGTTTAGAACGCCCACAGTCCTTAAGGGGTTAAAAGAGTCATATTTACATTACAGAAAAATTAAGGAGGACCGGATAAATCAGGCCAACACCTTTTTATTACATAACATATATTATTATATGGAATGCACAGTTGTAGTATAGAAACTTACTTTACAAAAAAGTTACTTGATACCTGGGACAGCTTTCAAGTGTATGTAGTTAAGACTTATACAACCCCATAATTAAAGAATTACATATTTACTTGAAATTCATTTTGGGTATGTGTATATGTATTTTGTCTGTATGTAAATATGTACGTATGCATGCATGTATGTGTCTGTCTATCAATCTTTATATACAGAAAAAAGTGAGTGTCATGGCTGGCTTCTTTGCTCTCTCTATTTCTCTCTATTTCTCTCTCTTTATCTCTCTCTCTCTCTCTCTCTCTATCTATCTATATATATATATACACATATATGCATACATATGTATATATATATATATATATATAAAGAGAGAGAGATTTTTCTCTCTCTCTCTCTATCTGTATATATATATATATATATAGAAAGAGAGAGAGAGAAAGCAATGGAGAGAGAGAAAAATGGAGAGAGCAAACAAGTGTGTCTGTGTGTGTGTATATATATATATATATATATATATATATGAGAGAGAGAGAGAGAGAGAGAGAGAGAGATTTTTTTCCCCCTGTATATAAAGATTGATAGACAGGCCGGCAGACACATACATACATATGTATGTAGAGATAGAGATCAAAACACATATACACACACACACACATATGTGCACTGATATGCCACAACATTAAAACCACCTGCATAATATCATGTAGATCCCTCTTGTGCTGCCAAAACAGTTAATATGTATCATGACCTGGACTCCACAAGATCTCTGAATGCGTCCTGTGGTATCTAGCACCAAGACATTATTTAAATTCCGCGAGGTGGGACATTCATGGATCAAATTTGTTCTTCCAGCACATCCCACAGATGCTCAATTGATTGAGATCTGGGGAGTTTGAAAGCCAAAGCAACACTTTGAACTCTTTGTCATGTTCTTCACACCAAGTATGGCATTGTGGCAGAGCATTGCTAAGGGAACTCTATTGCCATTAAAGGGTGTACATGATCTGCAACAATCTCTAGGTAGTTGGTACATTTTAGGGATAATTGTGGGACTCAAAGTAACTTCCACATGAATGTCTGGACCCAAGGTTTCCTAGCAGAACATTGACAAGAGCATAACTCTTCCTCCACCTGCCTACTTTTTTCCCAATTTGCATCCTGCAGCCATCTCTTTTCCAGCTAAATGATGCATGCACACCCAGCCATCCACCTGATCTAAAAGAAAATGTGATTCACCAGACCAGGCAACCTTTTCCATTGCTTCTAATGCTTACATCCTTATTTTAGGTGCATTAAGGACAGGAATCATCTGGACAAAGGGCATTCTGACAAGTCTTCAGAAACACAGCTCTATTTATAGCAAGCTTAAGATGCACTGTGTGTTCTGATACCTTTCTATTATGGCCAACATTACGTTTTTAGCTCTTCTGCGTGTTTGGACCACACAGGCTAACCTTCAATCACCACACGCATCAATGAGCCTTGAGCACCCATGTCCCTATCACTGGTTCACTAGTTGGGCTTTCTTGCACCACTTTTGGTAGGTGCTAACCAGGAACACCCCCCACAAGACTTGCGGTTTTGGAGATGCTCCGACCTAGTTGTCTAGCCATCACTATTGCCAAAGTCACTCAGATCTTCTTGCTTGACCATTTTTACTACTTTCAACACATGAAATTCAAGAACTGACTGTTCAGTGACTGCTTATTTATCCCCCCCCTGTTTGACAGGTGCCATTGTAACAATATAATCAATGTTATTCAATTCACCTGCCAGGGGTTTTAATGTTGTGGCTGATGAGTGTATGTGTGTGTGTGTGTGTGTGGTGTGTGTATGTGTGTATGTGTGTGTGTGTGTGTGTGTTTGTATATATATATATATATATATATACAAACACACACACATACACACACACACACACACACACATATGTGTGAGCACTCACTTGTTGGACCACACAGAATTCCCTCTCTTCTCTCTCTCTATTTTATTCTCTATTTATTTTTTAATGATATATATATATATATATATATATATATGTGTGTGTGTGTGAGAATATATATACATGTGTGTGTGCAAGCAATACATTACAAATTATTGATCTTTTATCAACATTAGAACAAGAGGAAGGCAATGGCTCATCATTTAATTAGTATTGTATTGCCCATTGGGGGCTTCCCATTTTAATTCCACTGTTTCAAACTCATTCCATATGATGTGTATCCTTTAATTTGCAAACTATAAATTGTTGGTGACATATAACTCTTTATTCCTGCTTAAAACGCTATCTAATTTTCATAGCTACATTTTTATTCCTAAGAGATACGCTTCTTCAACAAACTCCTCATCTGCTCTAAGTCCCTACTTCATACATTAATTCCTAATTCAATGAGATAGCATATGGTGTAAAACTGAAACTACCACGAGACCTCATAATGTAATAGTTTTGTACTTGATTTTGTGAATGCTTTTGGTTTTAAATTTCTCCATCTGCCTTTTTGTGGAAGAACATCATTTGAAGTTTTTTCTTTCTTTTTTTTTTTTTATAAATTGTGAGTGACTTGCACATTAAATTGCCATTAGAAACCCAGCTTGTTTTCCCCCCCAGCAAACATCTCCCACTGGAACATTAACGTGTAAGGCACCTTGCTAATTGCCAATTTCTATACTACTTAAAGTAAAAATCATCATAATTATGCTCTGAAAATTTTCAGATGTACCACATTTGCAGTTTGAAGAAATTACTTATAATTCAATGGGAAATTAAAAGTGCATTTTCCAGGTGAGCCATACCATTTCAACTTTTAAGTTGACAAGTCATGTTGAAATGCTTGACAGAAAAATTATTAAGTCTGATGTGTAAATGTAATGTTATTTTGAGAAACGGCTTTCTACTTTTCTATTGGGGGAGGAGGCAAGTTGGGGGATTATTAGTAAATGTCACAGTGGCCACTGCTGTCATAGAAACCATAGCAATTATGTTGTATTTTTACTTAGCAATATGATCATTTTATGTTGTTCAAACATATTTTCATAAATCATATCCATTGCATGTAATCTTGTTTGATTGCATTAAGACTTGCAAGTCAGTTGAAAAGTTTGCTATTGATTGTACTTTTTTAATACTATTTATGTTTAAGTAACAAAGTTAATTTGTAAAATAAATCCGTGAGATGCAGTTATTTAGTTTTTAAAAACCTAAGCAACTATCTAGGGTGCAAAAATCTCAGAAACCCTTGTTTTTGCAATTGAGGTCTTAATTTTGCATTACATTTGTCAGCTTGATATAATTTTGCACTCGTGGAATAATTTTGACTATAACTGAGTCATAGGCAAATGTATTACCATCAAATTTCAAATCCTCGATGGTATTGCCTCCTGCATGGAAATCTGGATGTCTCTGTAGAGTAAAGCACTAGAGATGCAGGACCAATAGGTCTGCTTTGCTCTATAAAACAATCTGCTGTACAAAACAAAATGCAACAGTTTGACATTTTACCAAGCTATGGTGCCAGGGCTCTTCTGGTACCATAACCACTACAATATGCTGTAGTGGTTATGGTGTTTGTAGTGTTCCTTTAAATATGGTAATCCCATACATTCAGCACAGTAGAGAGGGAAAGAAGACAAGTTTGAGGTTGAAACTCATTCTTTCAACCAGCAAAGTTAAAATGAAGCATGTAAGATTCTTTAAAAAGGAGGAGCGCACGCTCACTCCAGCAATAGGGAGAGAGTGTTCTGTCACAAGAGGGTTGTATTAGAAAAAAAGGAAATGTGAAAAAGTGTTTTTTGTTAATATTTGTTTATAAGAATATAATAACAGAATATGGACACGTCCGTCTCTTCACATTTCAAGACATTCGGTGATAGCAGGTTATATATGAATGTGAGACTCGCAGGTTTTAAAAAGTTAATGAGATAAACATAACCAGTGGGACACGCAGGTCCCATGAAACACAGCCCGGTAAATACAATAGATCGTGCCACAAGTAAACAGTTAATTATACATTTGAACCTGAACCAACATGCTTTTTAGTGGTAATTATTTAATTCTGAGGGGCTTCCCTTGTCGCGGGATATTGTCTCTGGGACTGTATCGGCAGTGGTCAAGTTGTGAAATAAACGCATGGTGGAGGTTGAAAGGCTTTCTAACTCCTAGTTTCTGCATTTGATTCAGTGCATAGGACATAGAGCTGAGAATGTATTTTGTGCTTGGGTGTTTGTCAGAGGGTAGGAAAGGGACGAGGCAGGAGACAAGGAGAAAGGAGAGAAAGAAAAAACAAAGTGAGGTGGGGGAAAGGTTTCGGAGAAGAAGGTGGTTTTGATGTTGCTATGGCAGCTCTGTTTTTGATGATACTTAGGTCTATGTGCGAAGTCAGCTTCCAAGGAAGTTGGGAAGATAAATTAAAAGGAGAAATGCTTCCATTAACTTGAACATAACTACTTTTAAAATAATTGTCCATTATGTTTTATAATTTTTACAAGGTATATTATTCCATTCATATCTGCATTGCACACAAAACCCCTTCTCGCACAAGCTCTCTTTTTTATTGATGCATCTTCCCAAAAACATGTAATGTGTTTAATTCTAGGGATGCAGACACTATATTTTTCAATAATGCTATTGGTTATGTTTCATTTTATGTATATAGTAAACTCCATTGTGGATGCTGTGCATGGATCATAGCATATATTAAAGTTTACAATATAAGACATAACATTAAAAAATCTATTCTTTATGTAGTGAATACATATGACAACAAAACAGAGGTTAAAGTAAAAGCAATGTATTTTGTATCAAAAAGGCACAACTTGCACTATAATATGTTTCAAGAAACATTTGAGAAAATGTAAAATGTCAGAAATTCTGCTCAAAATAGACTGATCTGACCTTACTGTGCCTCATCAAGTTGGAGTTTGACACTTAGCTACTGCACTGTAAAGCGAAGAGAGGTTAACTCACTGTATATATACAGTATGACCACGGTACAGGTAGAAAAGTAATTATAAGTCCTACAGAGCAGAAAACAAAGTATATTTTTATTATTCTTTTCCTGGATTCTGTTTAGCATAAATATACTGAAAACATATTTACGGGGAATTGAAGTTTTGTATGAATCACTGAAAACTGTGTATGCCTGAAGGAATGCACAGTACATTGATTTTGGATGTCTTGTATGTCCCATCGGGCTGGACAAATAATTATAAAATTCTAAAAATATTAGCAAATAAGTTACATATTAGTGCAAGATGTACATATTTAACAAAAAAACTATAATTTCTTCCTTAAGAGAATGCACAGGATATGCCGCTGTCAGGAAATATTGCTTTCCCAAACATTCTACAGCACATTTTTTACAAGAATGGGTTTTTCACCACAAGGTTAACATTCTTTAAATGCACAGTAAATAACATATAAACCACAAACCACTAAGCAATTGTTATATTGTTCTTGTTCATGAAATGTCCTCTCAGTCCACTTCCATGAAACATTACTGTTGAAGTACAATTTCCTGCAGCTAATCAATCCTTCAGAGTCTACATGATCTTTTTATAAGAACGGTCTATAAATGACTTTACTATGTACCCGCAAAAAAGACTTGGAAATTAGTTATAAGAGGCATCTGGCAGAGAGGCTCTTTTTGATCATGTTAATTTCCAGACACACCAATTGTATCTGATTTATGGTTACCATCTGTATTTCACGGGTGTCTGATCCAGCCTTAATTAATAGATATTTTTAGCTGTTACAACTTTAATTGTCTCTAGGTTTGGTAAAAGGACACAATGGATTATTGTTAGCAGAAGGACGATCTTTGAGCTCTGATTCCAAGATTCCATAGCTGTGAATAAGAAGAGGGAGGGTGGAGGTCTCAAGAAGAAAATACAATGTAACTGGAGAAAAATAATTTACTATATAATGATGTTGGTCTTCTATAGACAAATAAATGACTACATTAAAATGTGGGGCCCGGTACGGCAGTTAACACATTGCTGCCATCTGTACACAAATTCCAGTTACTGTAACCAAGATAATTTAATTTCTGGTGTCTCTCCCCAGTGTCTCATTTAATTGTGTTTATATCCTTTACACCAAACACAGGTTCATTATTTATCTTATTAAATGGACCTTTTAAACATTACCACTTTTCGTCATCAGAAAATGTATTTACATGAATGAGGATCACCAAACAGCAACAATATCTTTGATCATTTTGGTTATATTCAGAGAAGTTACATCTTGGAACAATTTTCAGAATAAGCATTTCTTTTATACAAATAATTTATTTACCAACTACACTTTTCAGTAAAGTTCCTTTCATTAATTTATATGGTTTGATATTTATGCTTTACTTATTCATACCCCAATATATGAGGAAGAAAATGAATTAAGTTGGAGAACTTTTACAATTCAGTTTTGTTCACCTACAATTGCAGTGTCAAATTCAGCTCTGACAAATTTTCTGTTTTTAAAAAATAACACAATTTGTCTGCACAAATAAATGCCTATGTGCTTTAAAGGTAGATTTGATATGAGTTAATAGTGTACGCTTGCACCAGTGTCCCATTTTTGAGGAGCCCTATCAGATGATTATGAAATTGGCTCTAGATTGGCTCTTTAGATTGGCACTGTATTCATTGTATTCATCTACTTATAAACTGGAGGTTAAGTTAGTATTTATGTCTGCTTTTATACTGATAGAATAATAATGTAAACAAAATATATATGTTAATTAATTTAAAGGGACACTCCCTTTAAGTTCATTTAATACTTAATACTTTTATATATTTGATAGATTCTGGCCTCATTAATATGCTGTATTTTGCACACTACATTTTTAGAGTTATTGCATAACATAAATACATGTTTTACAGAATGCTGTACCGTAAGCCTCCCTCTTTAGCCACACCTTCTTACTCCAGAAAA